CCGAGCTCCAGGCCAAGCTCTGCTTTTAAGCAGTGTTGTTTTCGAGCACCCAAGCTGAGTTCCCAAGCCAACCTCCAGGCAGGAATCACACCACAATGGGCTGGTTACTATAGCTTGCGGTCCTGGCAGCTGACAGTCCTCTTACCTACCTGTAATAGTTGTAAATGCTCAGATGTCACTTCCCGTTTCTTTGTCTACTTGCTTTCTGTATACATAATATCCTGTACAGGGTAAGAAAAAACCCAGTTACCCAAGAAAGTATAGGTTAGTCATCCCTAGCTAATACAGAGAAAAGACTCATCAACTGATGCATGAAAGTCCCTTTGCAGGACACCTGGTTAGGAAAAGAACACTCTCCTGAACATGAGATAGATTTTACTGGCCAGGAATTGGAGGAGATATCAGTAAACATTGTCAGGCATGTAGGAAATGCCAGTTAGTCAGACGGAAAAGGAGACAAGATGAAGCTCTGATGGTACGAGTACCTATTGGGCCAGAACCATTTGCAAAAGTAGCTATGGATATTGTAGGCCCTCTCTCAAGAACAACTAAAGGAAATAGATATCTACTGGTGGTATGTGACTTCCTCACAGACACAAGTTTGACATCAGGACTCAAAACAAAGACAGGGTAATATTAGAGCATATCAACCTCACAGAACACTCTATGGCAGACCCCAGAGTGGTTGTTTTGGAAGAAACTGGACTTCAGTAGCACTACTGAACGAGAGATAGATGAACTCAAACTGTCAGTGGCTACTAGTTTTGATGGCTTGTAGTTTCCATAATGTATCTGGCTGCCTACTGTGAGACCCAGAAAGAAAGCTGAATTAGACTGAGCTTTTGCCCCAAGCCAGCAGCATTCTTTTTATAAACAAAACACTCTCACTTCTGTTCTTGCCAAGTGCTCTATTATAAGTGCAAATAAGTAGTAATGGCTCTGAATTATGCTGTGATGATGGTGTACTTAGTTGCATGCCCATTCTAGTGAGATCTTCTGCACTGAACAGGCTTGCACTTTTGGTCTATTTGAGTTACTCATATGAGTAAGTTACACAAATTATGTTAAAATGTGACTTGATTCTGGTCTATTTGATTGATTGATTATGTGCCATAAAGTTGGTGTCAACTCTTAGCGACCACATAGATAGATTTTCTCCAGGATGATCTATCTCCAACCTCATCCTTCAGGTTGCAGTTCACTGCTGTAACTGAGTCCATCCACCTTGCTGCTGGTCATCCTCTGCTTCTCTTTCCTTTCAAATTTCCCAGCATTACAGCCTTCTCCAGAGAGCTAGATCTTCACATAATATGTCCCAAGTAGGATAATTTGAACCTGGTCATTTATGCATCTAATGAGAAGTCTGGGTTGATCTGTTCAATGATCCATTTGTTTGTTTTCTTGATTGTCCATGATAATCTCAGGAGTCTTCTTCAACAGCAAAATTAAAGAAAGTCAATACTCTTTCTATCCTCCTTCTTCAAAGTCCAATTTTCACTATAGACCCATCATGGCATCTGAATATCTTTACCAAGGCCTTCATGGCTGCTCTACCAAGTGCTAGTCTGCAGTGTATTTCTTGACTGCTTGATTCTTTACTGTTGATGGTTGTTCCTAAAAGGCAAAAGCTATTTATCATTTCAGGATCTTCATTGTCAATTCTAAGGCTGTTTGTTGTACCTATTGTCATTCGTTTGGTCTTCTTTATATTTAATTTTAGTCCCATTTTTTCACTGTGCTCCTTGACTCTTATTACTAGAACTTGCAGATCCTTTAGATTTTCAGTTATCAGAGTAGTGTTACCAGCATAATGCAGGTTATTGATGTTTCTCCCTCCAATTTTAAAATCATGTTCATCTTCTTCCAATTCAGCTTCCCTTAATTTATATTCAGCATTGAATAAACAAGGGGAGAGTCTTGTCTCATTCTTTTGCCAACCTGGAGCCAGTCTGTTTCACCATGTTCTGTCTGAACTGTGGGTTCCTGACCTGTACATGGATTTTGCATGAGGACAATGAGATGTTCTGGGATTCCCATTTTTCTAAGCACATTCTACAGCTTGACGTGATCAATTCGAGTCCCTGCAGGGCTCCAAATTATTCAATTACTTAGTGAGCTTAGTTTGTAGCCTACCATATAAAGCAATAGGATTTTGAAATGCTTTTGCATTTATAAGTTTTACTTTAATAACAGATGATCGACCCATGATTTTATTAAAAGATGTGTCAAATACTTTTCTTTTAAACTGGAGAAGATTGATTATGTTAGTGAGCTTCTCACTTAACACTTGAACTCAAACAAGGAAGGGTAATTATGAATTGATGAATCTACAGAAAAGTGCCTAAGGGTATAATGCAAAATAAATGATGCTTTGGTGTACTAAGACTTTTTTACTGGCATTCAGTGGATGTAGCTGCAATACTCAGGTGTGGTAAAACATAATGAAATCATGGAGCTTTGCCAAATGAGTGCCAATATGATCCATAGTTTCATAGAGTCTGTACATGTCACATACTTGATAAGGAAAAATGTGATATTAAGGTACACTGTAAAAAAAATATTGAGATGAATTTATCTTTTTTCTTGATTAGGCAGGCTCTTAGGACAATCTGTCACTTCTAAGATCAGAGAAGTGAATAGGAAGTTTTGAGAAAACTTTATAAGAATGGAGTCCTCTCATTATGGTGTATATTTCTGGAGTCAGAGGCTACAATTTTCCTTCTGCAACCAACAGATGGGCCACATGTGACACCATCAGAAACTTTATGATATCATAGTAAAGAGTTGGCTGAATATGGAGGTTTTGAGGGGAGTTAAGGTGGTAACATGCAAAAAGCCACCAGGAGACAAATTGGTTTTATTTCTACCATTGAAATGCCCTAAAAATTGCAGTGATAAATTTAGGAGGCAAAATGGCTGAATTTCAGTGGAACTCTTTGAGGGGTTTTAAGGATGTACAGTGAAGATCTTGCATCCCAGAAGCCTCTTACTCCAATTTCTATACTTCCTTTGTAGGAAAAACTAAAAAACAAACAAGCAAACAAACAAAAAAACAACAAAAAAACTGAACTCTATTGAAAGTTAGAAATTTTGCTGCTGAATTTCTTTGGGGGGTTGAAAATAGGATAACTGAAGGCTGCCATCTCTGCCTTATATTATGGTTCTTAAGATTTCCTAATTATTCAAAGTGGCTTTAAAATAATATGGGGAATTAAAGTGATACAGGAACTAATGGGTTTATATATTTTTAATGTATAATGGGTTTACATTTCTAAACCCCCAAGACTATGGTATGTAAACAGGAAGCCACTGCTTGGATCTAGTGTTTTTCATGAATGAAACATTTATTGCCAGTTTTTCCATCTCCATGCCCCTTCCCTGAAGTTTTTGGAAAGTCTCCAAATTGTTCACAATATATTTTTAAGATCTGTAAAGGACTTGCAATCAAAACTCTATGAGCAAAACTTTGGATCTGATCTTTTGATTTTATAGGGCTCTGGCTTCTATTGCCCTATAATGAATGGGGCTAAGGCTGATCTTGCCACAGAGGCCGTGATGCAACCTGTTTCAAGTGGGGAGTGCGGTGGGGATAGATGAAGACATAATGAATATACATCTAAGTATTTCTGCAAAACTTGTTAACATGTTGAATCTTGTATTGGGAGGGGATGGAGTTTACGATCTTTTTGAGGCAACAAAGTAACTTGGGCCAATATTTAATGCAACACACTTCTAGATACACAAAAAACAAAAGCCCAAAATAGGAAAATTAGATCAGTTCAGAGCTCAGTGAAATGGACAAGCTATTGAGAACTTCAGGACTCATTAGAAATTAAAAAATATAGAAGACCAGATGGAGCAAGGAGGAGTTAGGAGGGGAGAAAATTAGTTTGATTTGCAATTATGAAGTCTACATGGTCAGAGTGTTAAAATGGATTATCAGAGAAAATGAGAAACATTCAAATTAGACTGCACAGGTCCTATAATGGTTTCAGATTGCATTCAGGATTGCCCAAGGACTGTTAGGATGAAGAAGCAAATCCATAATATTTCACCCCCATTTCTGAAAAATAAAACCTAGATACTATGTTCACCATTTGTTACAGCATATAGATTCCTTGGTAGGCAGAAAACAAATAAGAAACATTTAATTTTATGCTAACAAGGGTAAATAATTTTAGCTGGAGAACTAAATACAGAAAATCAGTAGAAGTAAAATTAATCTCTTGAAAAATAATTGAAACTGAAAATGTCAGTTTGCTTTATCAAACAGTTGGAGGGGAATGAATCAAGCTTATGCCTATTGACATGTAAAAAGTTTAATTACTAAAACATAAAAAGGAAAGCAACAATTCTTAAACCATATTGCTGAACTAGGAGAAGTAGGAGAAAACCCTAGCTCCAAAGTAAACATGGTAACACAGGTTAATAAAATATTCTAATGCATTTTCTTCTTTTCAATGACTTTTCAATGGTTGATATGACATGAATCAATAAACTCACCAGCAACAGAATCTCCTTTTCATGCTAGCAGCAGATGAGGCAGAATGGCTGGTCTGCCATGTAGCTGCCATTTTAGTATATGGTCGTTTTCATCGCCACTTCTGTATTCTAATTTTAAAAAAAAACCTAGAGAGGGAGTGTCAGCCATTCAAGGTAGACCAGACTAGGAAACCAAAATTATGAATGCTAATGCTACTTTTATTATAAGGTTACAGTAAGAGAATCTTGCAAGTCTGAATATGCTTTCCCCTTCCTCCCTTTATCTTTGTGAGAACTAGGGAGGGTCATGTCTGAGCCACTCTCAAATTACATTTCTGCCCTAGACTCAGATTTCTTTTACCTGACCATTGTCTTGGTTTTGGCTGTTCTTCATGTTCCTCAAGGTTATTCTTTCTGCCCATTACAGGGAAGCAGAAACCTATGGTGATACAATTGTGATTGGACTGGGGGGGGGCAATACTTATCTTTACCCATTTATGTCCCTTTTTCAGCCTCATATGACCATAGGAGGGGTGGAAACTATTGAGGAAACAGATGGGAATTCCCAGAGAGGTTGCACTTGTGCAAGATCTCTAGGATGCAACCTGAGTAAGGACAGACAACTCCCTGGTAAGTAATTTGTGTGATATGGTCAAATTAATTGATGGGGGAATTAAGTTAGTCCCATCAAGACCATGTATGTTTGGGGCTTAATTTAAACCTCCCTGGATGTGAGAGATTGTTGGAGTCAAGCAGAGAGGAGGAGGAGGAGTTCAGCTGGCATAAGATGAGGCAACTCAGCTCAGATGTGGGGCCTACGTGAAGAAAATACTATAAAGAGAGTCCACTTTAATCAGCTTGCTATGAGTTCCCACTTCCTAGGTTTACCAGTTCTGGCGGCTTGCGCCTGGGTGAGTTGAATCATTTGTGCTGGTTGAGAGTTCTCACGATATGCTTATGTCTTCCAGCCAACCCAATTAAACATGATGTGCAAACAGCCCAATGAGAAACTGTCTTTGGAGACTATGTGTGTAGAAGAGCGTTGCTTGGCAGCAACTGTATCTCCATTGTCTTATTTGCTATTTTCTCAAATTCTCCCATGTGTTTGTTTTTTTTAAATAAAACACATAGAATGTTAGTGCCACATTTAGCATACCACTGGCTTTTAAATGCTGTTGTGAAAGGTGTTAGCATGTAAGCTAAATTATCCCTTACTTCCATCCCTTTTCCTTTGTTAAGGAACCATAGTAAAGGATGTCTACTATCCCTTGCCATGTAAAATGTCATCTTCCTTGGTGGAAGTAGATAATATATCTACCTTGTGATATATTTAACATCATATACCTTATGAAATTTTAAAATGTGTTTCTATACTTCCAAGAATTCCAAACTGACCACAGTATCAGTAGAATTCAATGAGTGCATTAAAAGTCATATGCTTAAACAAAACAGCACAGTTTCAGGAAGAGGAAATGCTAAGCCGAATGCTAATACAGTTGATGCCCAATTACTAGTAGGACTACCTACTCCTGTACAGTCTTAAATGGAGTATCTTTTGCAGGTCCCAACAAAGATATTTGTTGGAATTAGTTGTTCCTGGGTCTCACACTGCAAAATAATTTGCTATTGTTGCTGAAGGCCAATCCGCTCCTTAGAAGTGGGCTTAAAACACATACTTTGCTCCAAGCATTTTAGTGTTTTATTGTTCTGTTGCTAGTTTTCATGGTTCTACTAGGGGGTTGAATATTATTTTTGTTTACTGTTATGTTTGCTCAGTTGCCTTGACCCTTTGGGACTGAATAGCCTATAAACCTTCCAAACAAATAAATAAATGTAATAAGTGGCAGCTTTCCAAAAGTACCAGATGTGAATGCAGGCCTCACATGTTTTGTGTCAGCTATCACAGCTTCTATGTCTTAGAGGGATTTATTTCTGAGTACAGTACACACTTACTTAATTGTATTTTATGTGATATTTCCAAGCATGTTTGTTTCCTGGCTATAACTCTTGCAGCAACTTCTTAGAGTAGACCAGTATTTATGTATGCTTTGGGGGCCTAATTCAAGGTGTCCATTATTTCACACCTTAGGTCCAATATTTAAAAGGTATTCCATTCTAGCAAACTAAATGTATTTGTTTCAAATCATTATATAACATAGTGGCATCCTAAGGCTAAGTTATTATCCCTATATTGCAGACATTTGCTTATATAAGTGAGAAATAAGGAGACTTCATGTTTGTGGAATGTATTTTTACGAGAACCTTTGCTCTTTTAGCCAGAGTCTAAGGCAAAAGCCCAAATTGTTTCTTAACTTCAACTTTATTATTTGGAATGGTTGTTATTGTTATTGTTAAACAATTGGAAACTTGGGAACGAGAGAATCTGGCTGGTCTACTACCTGTCTTTCAGAAAACTTTACCATATCATCCAGATCAGAAAAATGACCCCATATCATGCTGTTGGGTATGGTCCTGAATTTTAATTATTTACTTCTTTTTCTTAACTGAACCACAGATGTGCTAGAGAATATAGTATAACCAGACAGCAGTGTAATTTTTTTGCCAGATGTGGCTGTTTCCTATGATAGGAAATAGTCATGAAAACAATACTACAAACAATGTTTCAATTAAAAACATTGAAAATTGCCTTTAATATAGGAAAGCAGCCACGCTTTTAAAATTGTTCTCAGACATGAACCCTACATTCAAAGCAAACATCTTGTCCATGATTGATGTGGTAATCATACAAGAACATATGAGTCCAGGAACATTGGGTACAAGCCATAATGATGTCACATGTGTCTGATGTCATTTCACAAATGATCCAGATGACATGCATGACATCGCTTTGACATCACTCATCCTATTATCTCACTGTGGATGTCCATGGTAAGGCCAAAGGCGTATCTTGATCCAACCTTCTAAATGGAGTTGTTTATTGTACTATGGCATAATACAATTTGTTGGTTTTGGCTTTCTGTATTATGTGAACGTCACAGTTTGCAAATAATAAATTGTGATTTATAGTATGTTGTATGAACCCACCCTGTTGTAATTTATTCATTAAACAATGCTTAAACAAGCTGTTGCTTGGTATATGTGACCCCAATGGCTAATAATCTTGAAAGTTCACAGAAAATATTAAGGTGTATAGATTCAGACTCCTTTCCCCTACTTGCTAGACAATTCCTCTAGGACATATTTAGGCATACCCAGATCAGAACCTTCCTGAATCCACATCATAGGATGATTTTCCTATGACTCAGACTTATACTAAACTAGTAGTACTGGAATCACCTAGACAGCACCTTCCAGATAAAGTCATCTTATAAAATCATTCATCAGGCAGTTTAATATCCTTCCTTGAAATATACTTTCCTAGAAAATACTTGTTGGATGATCAGCTTTGTCTTCAGTTAAAAACCAGATCTTGCTGTAGAGTCCCAGTGAATCATCTGTAAGTATTCTCAGTGGTTAAGGTTCTTGAGAGGTTTAAATAACTAAGTCCAATGAGTTTTAATTAGCAAAATCCATTAATCTAACCTTTTCTGACTCCTCTCTGTAGGATTTTTACTAAGGATACTGCAATGGGAATTTGACTTGACTTTGTCTGCCTGGATTGAGGAGCGGTTTTGCAAATGTTCCAGACTGCTAGCTGCATATGCATTCCCGATTATTAAAGAAAGAAAAGGAAAACTCTGGAAAGTGGTTTGCCATTTTCTAGTGATGCAACTCTTAAACATCTTAACTTTGTCTCTGATGTTTAATCATTAAATGTAAATCACAGGATTGGTGGTAGTGTACTATCTTAGAAGTATCTAATTATTGTAAGCTGCCTTGAGTGTTTATACAAACAGAAGGTAGAGGTATAAATTTAATAACAAAAATTAAAATAAAATGTTACAAAGTATGTGTTTATGTTTATGTCAGCTTTGTAGGGTTGGAGGTACAGATACTCCTCCAAGTTGCCCTTTTCTGTTGTACTTAAGATATATCAAATAATATTAGCTTCATAGTAAACGGGGAGGGACTGAGAGAATATGGTTTGCCTAAGATCATTCAGCGAGATCTGTAATACAGACATCCTAACTCAATGCTCACTTTTCAGTGGCTAAAAATGTCTTTAAGCTAGAACCTGTGCTCTGTTCAGATTTTGGGACAGTATAAACCAACAGTGAATACACTGGAGCTGCAAGTTTTTGTAGGATCCCATAAAGTGTCCACTTTGTACCTGCGGAATATGATAAAGCTACTACATAGACATTTTCTTTTTCTTTGAGACTGGCCACATCTGTTCCTTCAGCCACCAGCAGTTTGGAAAATCAGGATGAAAGTTTGCACTGCTTGTTTATGCAGGAGAATTACTAGAATGTATTCCAAACAGAGGATTTATATACTACTGCTTCATTTCTTTATGACCTCAAAGGACAAAGAGGCAGTGACTTCTCTTTGAAAGATTAGAACCAACATTTTGTCCAAATAAGCTTTAAGTTGCTTATTGGACTGCATGCTGACTGTAGCTATAAAAACTTAGATCCCCCCTAGTTCTTAAACTTAGAAATTTAAAATAATATTGTTGGAACTTCTAAACATGGAGATAATCCTAGTTAAATATACAAAACAGTGCCAAAATGGTGCCTATAGCTTTGGGATGTGACAGAAATTCTGTAGCCTGCATCACAATTTTTCTTTTTTTGGCCTGCATTGCCTGGGAATCTAAAATACACTTAGCTCTTTTCAATATTTCCCCCTAAATTTTGGTCAAACAGAATGGCTTCACATATCTTATTAATCCATGGTTTGTTTAATTGTGGCTTATTGCTCCAACCACTATTTGGGTTCTTACAACAAACTAAGCCATAGATCATAGAGTGACTGGATTTCCTCAACAGTTTGTCTCAATTTAAAAAAAAGCACACTACAATTAAGCACAGTGTTTCTCAGCCTTGGCAACTTGCAGATGTGTGGACTTCAGCTCCCAGAATTCCCCAGCCAGCATGGTTGAGAAACACTGGTTTAGTGTATTGAATGAGTCCAGACAATGTCTGGTAATATACATTTCTTTTTACTTCATATAGAATTTCAATTTGGAGAGAGAAGACATGAAAATCAGGCTGGAGCCTTAATTCAGATGAAACTCTACATTCAGACACGGTATCTCCATTTAAAAGGTAGGTAATGGGGGAAAATGCTTGCTAGCTCCCTAGATATCAGCCATCCAGAATAAGCAGTTCCAGTAGTAGAAAATGTGATTGAACTGTGGGATTCTTGGTGTTTTCTCAGCTTGGTTGTTTTCCTGCAGATATTTTCAGGAAGCAGTGCACTGATGATGTTACCTAACCTGGTAATGATACCCGGAAGGAAACAACCAAGGTGAGAGACCAAGAACCCAACAGAATAAGCAGTGCTGGGCTAGATGGACTAGAGATCTGATTCAATACATGTGAGTAGCTGTGTTTACACTAAGCCATAAGGTGGTAGGTTTGGCTTGGCTTGGCTTAGAATGATGTGTGTACCCAGCCACTTTGCTTTGTAAACCACAGCTTGCAACTTACAATTTGGGTAACAACCTGTGCCCCTTATGCCTTTTTTGCAGTCCCAAAACCCCTGGGAGAAGGTGGGTGTGAAAATGCTTGGGTTTGGTGCAGGTTAAGGAGGAAAATGGGTACCTTAAACTTTGTATGATTCAAACAAAACTGGTTTTAGTGTAACACATGATTCCAGTCAGCATTGTGGAAAAAATCCTACTTAGACTGCATCATGTTCTACATCATACTGAAGACCACTGGAAGCTAGAATTGGTCCAAAATGCAGACACACAAGTAGTTATGGGTATTACTTGTTTTGCCTATACTGAAATAATTTTGCTCTGCAAGCTGCACTGGTTACCAGTGGAATTCTGGTACAATTCACGGTGTTGGTCATTCACTTTATAATTTGCTTACATTATAAGTAAGCTCTACGTGACTTAGGATCTAGATACCTTTTGGATCGTCTGTGAATCCTGACAATATCCCTGTTCGATACACACTTTGAAAGATCCTCTCTCACCTTTTAAAATGACCAATAGACCAATTCATAGAGGCTCATCCTAGTTTAACTACTTTAACAAAAATGTCTCATGTACCACAAACATCTGAAGACTTTAAATGAAAGATACTTAGCTCATAAATGAAGGGTAACATCATACAAATCAATTTAGAATGATAAAAAGTGAGCTTAATATAGAAATTAATTGGGAACAGTGTTATAAACAATTCGCCATACTGTAAATTTGAAGGATAGATGTTCATTTAAAATAAGTTGGAATATGCTTCTAAAAACATGTAATTTCAGGAGAAAATAGCCTGTTCAAAATTAATATAATTGATTAACAATTAAAAATTAAAACACAAGTAGAATGGGGTTGGAGGTGAAATATTGAGTTTCCTTTGATAGGTAGAGTAATTACGAAGTGTGCTTTTGAAGTTCAAGAAGACAGCCTTAGGACACAATATTTTTTAAAAGTAAAAATTGGCTTGCACTCTGTTAGAATGATTTATTTTGCACTAAGAAATGGGTGTGAGACATGATGTGATTTAAAATTTCATCTCTTGTTGAAACTGCTTGAGGGTGACATGTTTTTCCTCCCTTCATCTCTCTCTCGTTTGGGAATGGGGGTGATGGAAGGTTTTCTGTCACTAAAATCTACTGTGTAAAAAGCCAAGCTGCTAGTTTCTCTTTAAAGGGAATTTTGAAAAACAGAATATAAACTTCCTTCTGATACCAGGAAGCTAAAACCTTGATTTTTCAGTAAGCCAAAGACCATGATTAAATCTGATTAGAATGACTAAGGATTTAGTCATAATAACTTCTGCCCTGGTAGTATAACATTTCATATAAACACTGTAGCATTTCTCTATCTGGTGTTGTCTAGATGTGCTGGACCACATACTGATGACAGCTGTAATCCTATACATTTGGAGTACACCAGGTTGTAGAATGCTGACCTGCAAGGTATCAGTGACAGATACTTTGGGAACTGTTTTGCTGAACATAAACAAGTGCATTTGACATACACAATTGGTACATTCAATCTGGAATGGCCACTTTTGTCATCTAGGTCTGCAGCAATGTAGACCTACCATACAGTTACAATGACATTTGACATATGACATTTTCTCCTACTTCTCCCTGTCACTTAACTGCTTAATGCTTAGTGGTGGCATTAGAGAATGAGTTTCCCACTCAGATCTAGGATTTTCTTCAGGGGAGTATGAGAATATCCAAACCAATATGAACCCCAAACTTATTAACCAGGATTAATGATTTTTAAAATTGGATTAAGGTTCAATTTGTCCACATCTTCCCATTCAGAACTCTTAGATATTTTGGGGCTTTGTTTGGGAAGGAAATGGTACATTGATGAAAAGCAAACTCCCTCATGGTACTTATATGATTGCTGAAGGCTGTTTTATTCCTCCAAGACCCTAACTTGAATTGCTAATTGAATTGCTCAGTCTTGAGAGTATGGTTTACTATTGTTGTTTTTATATTTTTACTCCATTGTAATTTTCCTAAAGTTTTTTGATTGGGGCAGGCTATAAATACAAATAAACTCCTACATTTGACATGGCCTCTACTCATAAATGAGGGAGACCTAACCCTTTTTCTATCAAGACCTGTTTTTCTGCAGGACTTAGATCAAGAATTTGGGAGAGCCATCATCTAAAATCGAGCAGAGAGTGGGCTTACAAGTATCCCTCTTTGTGGCTCTTTTTTTTTCAGAGCACCATATCTTTCTTTCACTGATGAATGTTTTTCTACCTCCTGTTACAGCAGGGTGCTGGAGAAATGACATCTGAATTTTGTCAAGGTTTTTATTTTTTAATTAGTCTAATTAGCTGTATGAAATTAGGCCAGTTTTCTCTAAACCTTCGTATGCCTGGACTTCAACTCTCAGGATGACCTTTATTAATAATTCCAGGAACTGAAGTCCAAACATCAAGTTAGGGCAAAATGAATCAAGCCAAAGACTGCACATGGCTATAGGCTGCTCACTCTGATAAAGACGTTGAGCAGTAGAGGAGATAGGCAACACATTGGCCAGAGGAGTTTCCCCAAATCACCAGAATCACTGAGAAATGGTGCCTTCTAACCCAAAAAGGTAATCTAGAAATTTCAAAGGCATTGACAGGAAAGTCCCCCCCCCCCGCAATTAGGGACATATTCCTAGTATAGGGCATTCCAATTACTATTTCAGTTCCAGAACCAAGTATAAAACTGGAATAAAATCAAGCTCAGCCTTGGCAGAATTTGGAATGGTTTATATTCACCCATTCCTGCTTTCTGAATGTCACAGCTGTCCCTTGACAAGCATGTTATGATGCCCTGGAGACCCCTCCGTAACAACATCGGTGCTGATCCACCTGCATCAGTTTCCTGTCATAGTACTGCAATAACATGGATGTTCTTGGGCAGGAGAGCTGATTTTCCTTTCATTTGGCTATAACACAGCTCAAATAGTAAAACTTACATTTTGTGGCTTGTGATACTGGAGTTCCACAGGGTTTGGGGTTAGCTGAGAACAAAAAAAAACCCCTCTCTTTGAAGATGTCTCGGGCAACTTTATCATCAAACCTATCTTAATACTGCTAATCAGTTTGTAGTTCATTTTACAATCTTTGTAAAATAAAATTTGGCTTCATTTTCCTTGCTTATATAAGCAAGTGGTCTGTATCAAACTCTTGTCTCATCTACTGTGCTTCGGGCTGCAAGAAAGCCATTTCTCTTTCTCTCTCTCTCTCTCCTCCCACACAGACACACATAGAAGCTCTGCACTGTGACCTCCAGCTCTGATTGCAGCTGTTGAAAAAGGGCTTGCTTGTGAAACTACACTGTCATGCCATTATTACAACTTTCAGTGGTTATTTATATGCAGAACAAGGAAATTTTGATGTCCAGGCAGTTTTCCTCTCATACCAACAGATAAGGGGTCTTCTCTCTGTGTTTTACAAAATGGCACAGCTGACTTCAAAACACTGTAGAGGGTCTGGGGAGAAGAAATGGTACTGCGTGGAAGTGCTGTCTGTTTATGAGATTCTATTCCTCGGTTCCAGGTGCAAAATAGTCTTTATATGATATGATTCACGACAGCGAGGGTCATATAGAGATGCCAATTGTAAGAATTCATTGATCCAGTACAACCTGAGAAACCACGTTAACTGAAACATTAGCTAGCATGATCACATAAAAAAGCCTGCTATTCCTGATAAATGAGAAGCATCTTTAAAACGTGGCAGGAATTGAGTGTTATGGATGGGGTAGAACAATAGGTGCAGAATAAGGCAATCCAGCTGGCATCTAGCATATATAGTTTGAAGCAAGAATAACTGATATTGCCAGTTGTAGCGTGCAGGACCACTATGTAGAAGCATTGTCCCAGGCAGTTTGGGGTGAGCCTCCTTTTCTTTTTCTGCAAATTCTGTTATATCTAGTCTTCTGGTTGTTTTTAAAACTCTTCCAGATGAAATTCTTACAGCTTTCTTGGGTTACATCCATTGTGTTAGAGACTATCATTAATTATTTTAGCTTCATATTGAAGGCTCAGACTGCCTGTAGCTCCAAAATGTAAAATCTGGGTCTACTTCTGTGTGGTATAGAGAAAAATGAGGGGGGGGGATTTTTTTAAGAACAAAAGGATTCCATATAGGCTCTGCTTTCTTATTTCTCTTCAGGCTGACTTCTTTACACCACTTTTCCGTTAGCTGAGCTCAAGACTAGATCTATGCCTGGCTAGGAGTCTTTAACACATGGGTCTGTGTTCTAATCAACTTGAACCTAAGATGTTATTATATAAGTGTTGCTTGATGTTAAAAACATATTTTACCTTTTTTACATGAGAGAAAATGTCTGGAAGTGTGCCTAGACTATCTATTGATTTATGGAACTTGAAATATTTTTCAAAAGAGTGTCACCAATGCGCGTAATGTCTCCGGATGCTAAATTTTCTATTTGCATCTCTGAATAAAAACACAGCCAGCAAGATAGAGCTCCCTACTGGCAGCACATCAGAGAAGAGAACAGAGCGTGACTTATTCCAGCAAAGGTCTGGTATACATTATACCCCATTAAATTGGCTCCAGAGAGGCCTATTTTGGATGATAAAACAGAGAGTTTCTGTGATATGGAA